TCACATGTTAATCGGCGGAGGAAAACATCGTGAGAAAATCTGCATGACAAAGAATAAACAAAACCTTTTGAAGACATAGAAGTTTGACAAACACGCATTAGGCGCAGCGGACACTTCTTTGTCCTAAAATCGTCTCAGCAATGAGATCATGCCTGTGCCCAGCAGTGGGACGTATATAGACTATTAATTTACTTTTTTACCTGTAGCGCCGCAACCAAACATTTGGCCAATGCGCTACTGAGTCGCAAAAACTTAATATAATGATCCGAAGGTTGAAACAGGAGTCCCACAAGTCTCTGTATTCTCATAACTCTCACCGTCCTAAAGACTTATGTCTATCACCAATTTTCTACCCTGTAGCGCCTCAGTTAAGCATTTCGGCAATGTGCTACTGAACCGCAAAACTTCATACAAGGTTATTTTTAAAAGAGTAGCCAAATTTTAAACTTAAGTTCAAATATATAAATAATGATATACCGTTATTGCAGTTTTTGAAAATACCAGTAAATAAGGCTCCTACTTTTATTTGAAATTATCCCGAATTGAATGTGATTTATGGGCAGCAACTACACGTACGCGCGCTCCGTGTGTGCGATTCGATTAAAAACGTTTTTGCCGACCGATCGACCCTTACGAATGTGTGCGTGTGTAGTAAAATAGATATTTATGAATGACATTCGATTAAAATAATGCATTACCACGCATTTTGAATTTAAAAGATAAAAAGGACAGAATGTTTGAGTTTTATTGTAATTAATTTCATTTAACCATTTGCCTATATTTCTTATTCTGAACCTTATCTGCAAATTTGGTCAGTTACTGCAACATAACTCTATATAAAGATTCAAAAGGTTAAACAGGAGTCCCAAGAGACTCTGTGACCTCATAGCCCTCATCGTCACCCAAAGTCTTCTCTGTATACTCCTGTAGTATACACAGAGGACTTTACTTCTGTCTGTGTATACTACATACATAGAGTACATACTATACATATTACTTTTACATCTTTGCCGTCATCACAACTTGACAGTTCCTATTTTTTTTTAATATTTAACGCACACACAATCACGTGTCCATACTTCCAACTGAAACACATACATAGACGTGTAAATTTTATGAAAATATAAAATTTTAATTTTTATTTATCGTGTAAATAAACTCAATGGTTAAAATAATAATTAAAACAAACAACTACTACGTAAAGAATACTGAAAGGAGAAAAGTATTATACTCTATGTCATTTCTACAACTAAGATGAATCCAGCAATACATTTTAACCTATATAAAAATCCATCAAGACGTTTAGGCTACAGAGCGTGACAAAGAAATAGATATAGGTACATACATACTCGAACAACATTACCCGCCTTCTAGGGCGGTCGGTTAAAAAGGGCTTTGTCGCAGGGCGACTCTTTGGTAACATAACACTGTTGTAACATTGTGTCAATCTAGATTTAAACTAAATCCACCAATGAAAGCTATTACGTGCATGAATATTTAATGTTTTAATACATATAGGTACATAGATTTATAGAAACTTCTAGCTATTAGCACTTTTTCTCATTATATACATATTATATCTAGTAGCATTTGTAGTGTAGTGGCGGTGTAAGAATATCCACTGCTCCATTTCATCCCGTGGGTGTCGTTAGGGAAACAAATCAGGAGGTGGACAGCAGCGTCTTCCTAATAATGACTAAATATAAAAACCGAGGTTGCCAACGCGCTTGGCCAAGGGTGACAACTATGGCAAATATCCCGCCTTTGAGGCAATCTGTGGGGTGGCCTATGTTGAGCAGTGGACTTTAATAGGCTTAACCACGGCGCAAATACAAAGAGGAGGTGTTGTAATTAGATTTCACTATGTAACAACCCGTGAAAATTTGCGGGGTGAGGGGTTGTTAAGCCCCGCCCAATCAACTGTTTTCCATCTACCGATAAATAGTAAAAACGTACCTCATCGATGTTGCAATGTAGTTTAGCTACCTCGACGACAGATGGCGGCCTGTTCACAAAATGATTATAAATACTATAAAAATAATATTTTGGCGATTAAAAATTCTTTAGGACTGAATACAAAACAAATTTCAGCACCTTCATATGATTATTTTACCAATACTGAGCTCTACGGCCCTTTATATTTTTAGTTCCCATGACACAAACTGTCGGCATCTAGTGTAAAAATACATCTAATTATATTTGAAAGCCGACGCAGAGATTTTTCTAGAACTATTTTAATAAATTGGGAATAAAATTACTTACAAATGAAATCTGACACTCTAAGGCTATGGATGGTATCATATTTGATGATCTGAGTAGATTTTACACGATAAAACACAACACTTCATCCTTTTCTTCTTAATACTACAAAAATACACCGATTTGCGATTTTCGACACATAAGCGCACAGGACGAATGCTGACAGAATACTAACTAAAGCCACGCCCACTGTGATGACGTCAGGACCTTGTTAGAATCACAGTGCACAGTTGCTTAGGCCGTCTCCTCTTTGTATTTGCTCCGTGGGCTTAACGGTAACGGTATTCGCACGTTTTTCATTTAAAGTAGGATCATTTGATTTGAATCTGGCACAGTGGTCAAACAGCCGCTTGCCACAATTAGAAAAAGAAGAGGATAAAGTTTGATCTTAAATTCGTATTTTTTTAACACCAAATATTTTTGTTAAGTTTTGTTATGTTATGATTATTATGATTTTCGGTCATTCTACCTGTTCAAAGCGGAACGTCTAAATTACTATAACACATTTAACCTGAGGAGAGATCGCATGCACTATCAGAGAAAAAAGAAATACTCTAAAACATAAAACATACAGACACGAACACTAATGATATATGTATATATTATATATTTTCAGTTTCTTGTAACATAATGCCCACGATTACCAACTTCTCTTCCAATTACTCTTTCTTCATCTTCCAACTTTTGCGCACAACACGAGTAAAAAATAATAACTCGCATTTATAAAGTAATTCGGTCTTATTATAAAACGTTGTTTATGGATAAACTCAGGTTTAAATTATAGTTTGACGGCCTCGGGCTTGAATTATGGTTTGAGAAGAGTCCAGAAGAGTCTTTCTCAAGAAAGAAGTACCGAGAAATCTGACATTTGCTGTCAAACTCCATTCTTTACATTTTAGTTTATGTGAACTTCTTTTGTGTAACAGATTTTAGTTTAAAACACAGAATATATAATAATACAAGAAGTTTAAACTTGAGATTAATAAACTACTTTTTGTCATAAGACGTATATTAGAGTTCAAATATAAAAGCATACATTTTTATAATGTCATAAACGTGTGGTCTTATACCTGCATGTGTAGCAATAAACAATGAACGGACTCTATCAATATCATCCTACTAAATACTAGCTCCACCCGTGACTTTCTTCGCGTAGAACTTAAACAAAAAACCGCAGATCCATATTTTCCTATTATCGTAAAAAGCTTTTATAAATTTATCCTTTGACACATAGTTTTGTTGTAAAATCATTTTAAGTAAACAAAAAAATTTAAATAATAATTTACATCAAAACTTTAATAGATACAAGATAATGTGTGATATACTTTTTTGTATAAAATAGCAAAATAAAAAAGTTTTTTGAAAAAGTTTTGTTCTATCTCTTATAGTTTTTGAGATAATCACAAAAAATTATTTATTTATATTTTCGATTTTACAAAAAAACCCTCCATATTTTTCAGCTGAAATATAACCCAGATCACTCATGGCATAGCTCTCCATCTGTTACTAAAGTTTCATCACAATTGCTTCAGTTATCCCCCAGATTAGCCCGAACAGACAGACAAATTTTAATAATGATTATATTTATGTCATAATATCATGCAACTTCAACTTCAACATGATATAACATACAGACACTTCAATTTTCTTTATTAGTACAGATAACACTACTACTTTGTCTTCAAACATTTTCTTTTTCCAATCAAATGTCACGTGTAAATAGTTAATAACAGCTTTTAAACGCAACGGATATGTAAAATCCAAAGACTTCTATGTCACAGCTGTGGATCGTGGCCGGGGAGCTGGCACAGTAAATATGCCACGCATTTATATTTTCATTTACGACAGTTACTGTTTATAGGCAAATACGAAATAAAGTAATTCGAAATCACTATCAGAAAAAAAATCAAATCACGTTGACAAAGTGCGTGCATAAATAATGACAGCGTTTTCTTAGTCACATCAAAAAAAAATCAATGTTAGATTGTCGAAATCAACGTTAGCGGTTTACCTAACAAAGAACTAGTATTCTCACCCGCTCGCAGTCGACTAAAGGGGTTGTGGAGAATTTACCGTAACTCAAAGCGCAATGTACCTTTGTGTCTATCCAGCAGTTTACATAGAGGTCTTTGGTAAAATCCGATAAAATTCCATCGCTCAGTAAAAACACTACAGTCCAATCGCAATGAACAAATTATTCAAATTTGAATAGTTTTATGAACAACGTCTGATGAATATACGGTAACATGTTGAGAAATTGATGAGCTCATATAAATACACCTTACCTTAATTTGTAAATGTAAGTAAACGAATGAAATATTTTATATAGTCTTTGTTTTTTTTTTAAATTTAATTTCCCAGTGAATAGTACCTATAAATAGTAAGTACGTATAATATATCAATTTCTTACTGCGTGGACTTGACTAAAATTAAATCTAAAAGTCATTCATTATTCAAATATCGAATAATTTATACATTTATTCCATCGCGTATATAATATAATTATTAAATAATTATTATCAGTAATGATAGTGTTTTAGTTATTATTATTACATTTAGAATATTACAATATTACAAATAATTCATTCGAAATGTGAATAGTTTCTACACGAAAACATTCATTACGTAATTCTTGAACAGTCGCATTCGTCAATCGAATGAATAGTTTACGCCAATATACCATTTTTTTTTTTAAAAATGGTTTTCATTTTTCTATTTAGAATATTGCAAATTAATATCATTCAATCGACAGAAGACTCGTTATCTTCGTTTTTGGTGGTGATATGAAAAGCTATAACTGGGATCGAACCCAACACCATGCAAGAACCCATTCCATAGAAGCACCACGAGTAGCCGCCGGTGATGTCTCGCACCATGCCTGAAACATTGCAGGACCCTTATATAATTAACATATCTCTGCTCAACCACTACACTAGTATATTACACCGTCGCATCGCGTCGGAGACATCCTTAATTCCTTAAATAGAAATCCTAAATGTTACATCACAATTATTTTTGGCTATATTAGTAACTAGTGACCAGCCCTGGTTTTACCTTGGTAAGCTCTATTAATGTGGCGTTATTTAGACTTAAGATAATCAAAAACCTATTTACCTTAACTTAAACCTCTACTTCACGCTGGTATTCTGTGAGGTCGTGGTACCACCCCGGTTCAAGCCGGCCCATCCGTGCGACAGCAAAAGCCACCACGTGGCTCTACCACTGTTGAAAATTAAAATGTCTTTCTGTTCTGTTCTGTTCTGTTTGTTTCTGTTCTCTATTGAAATTAGGCTATTTTTTGATTTCAATAGCCTCGCGAATCATCCTGGGAAGGAATCGGTGTTCTTTAGCGAGGATCAAATCTAATGTAGTGACGGGGGCGATCCTGTACGTGTTCACAGACTACAGACTTACACATAGCTGATGTGAAGAATCGAAGCTCCGAGAAGTCTGCAGTCTGTGAAAACGTACAGGATCGCCCCCGTTTCTACATTTTTTTTTATTGGATAAGGGTGACAAACAAATTGGCCTCTAAAAAGCTTGGCGTGCTCAGCAGAGCGGGACAGTATTTCATGCCGGCTCAACGCCTGCAACTTTACAAGGCGCAGGTTCGGCGTCACATGAAATACTGTTCCCATCTCTGGGCTGGGGCTCCCCAGTGCCAGCTCCTTCCACTTGACCGCATCCAGCGCAGAGCGGCTCGAATCGTCTACGACCGAGTCCTTTCCGATCGGCTCGACTCATTGGCACTGCGAAGAGATGTTGCATCTCTTTGCATTTTCTTTCGCATCTACCATGGGGAGTGCTCTGAGGAATTGTTCGGATTAATCCCAGCCGCCAAATTTCACGAACGCACATCGCGGCAGAACTCCCGATACCATCCACACCATCTGGATGATTGGCGGTCCACCACTGTGCGATTTAGAAGATGTTTTCTTCCTCGCACAACTTCCTTGTGGAATCGATTACCATCAGCGATTTTTCCGGACCGATACGACTTAGGGACCTTCAAGAAAAGAGCCTACTCCTTTTTAAAAGGCCGGCAACGCATCTGCAATTCCCCTGGTGTTGCGGTTGTTCATGGGCGGCGGTTGTCGCTTACCATCAGGTGAGCCGCATGCTCGTTTGCCCCCTCTCCTATAAAAAAAAAAAACAAGCACACAGTCCACTTGATGGTAAGTGGTTGCTGTGGCCCATAGACATCTACATATATCCTCTATTACAAATTAAAATGCAGATGCGTTGCCACCCGTGAGGATTAAGATGGAATGCCTCTTTTCCAGTAAAAAGGGCCTTAGATTAGGCCTAACAGATAGACAAAAATGTTAACAATGGTTAACTTAATAGCATGTAAATAACTCCTGAGCTTAATAGAAGCTAGTTATTTCAATATAACAGAAACAGAACAGAACAGAACAGAAAGACGTTTTAATTTTAATTATATGTATAGACGTAAGAAGTTTTTTTTTTTAAATAATTTTGTTATAAAGAGTAATGTTCATAACAATAGTATTACGTGTAATATAATTTAAAATTAAAAATTTTGTACAACTGACTTCAAAATAAATTATTAAGAATAACTCAAAAACTATTGGTCAGACCTTGATCAACTTTATATGGGACCACATGAGAAGCATCAGCTTTCAAATAAAAAAAGAATCATCGAAATCGTTTCACCCAGTAAAAAGTTATGAACAACACACATACAAAAAAACATACAGTCGAATTGAGTACCGTCTCCTTTTTGAAGTCGATAGAAAGCTAAAGATGTTACAGTCTTGACATACATCTGGCATATACAAAATTGTGACTCGCCTGTCTTTTACCCTCATGTTGACTGCGAGGTTTTCTCTTCTTCTCTTCATTCTAATGCCATATAAAAACTTACCAGCAGTCGGTGGTACAGAAACAGCAGCCAAACTCTGGAACATCCTTACGAGCCCGTACGAGGACGCGATCCGTGCTGTTCCGAACGCGTCGGCTAACAGCACCGGAACCAAGAGGAACCAGCAGCCCAGGCACAGTCCGTAAGCTCCTGGAGTAATAATATAATTACAGATTTATACAACATAACTTAAAAAAATAAATTTAATAAACTTGATTTTGTACGTTAGGTTAGGTTTTTCTACCCTCCCCTCCCCCTGGTGAGATGTTATGAGATATGGCTCGATCCCGTCACTCTCCTCCATAATCTCACGTGAGATTTTTCAAAATGCGTATTTCTAGTGTTAATAAGCTTGCGTAGGGTTTATTATATATTATATAATTTGTGGAGTTCGCTTAACCACGATAAATATTATTGTGTAGGATTTTTTGTAGCAACACTGAATCTGTTATAGAAAATTTTACGTGCTAACTTAACACGTGTCCGTTAAAGTGGTGTAGAACAACTTCGTGGGGAAACCTAGATGTCTGAGTAATTAAAGTAGTTTTTTCAATGTGACAACCGTTAATATGCATTGAAGCATTGCAGCATACTCTATTTTCTGCCCACAAAACACTATGAGGAGCCCTCTGCACAGTAGTGAGACGTATATTAGCTGCTACTTTACTTTTTTACCTTTAATGAGACTTAGTACTACGACACGTAATCGCAATTTGCACATAATTATGCTACCGTTTTAACAATGCTGCACAGAATAATATATAACAATAATTTTGAGTGATATACTTATGCAGCTTAGACTTAAGGTGACACTAGTCGACATTATTTCCATAGAAATTTCGGAGGGGTTTTACTCCGCTGTTTGACAGTGTACATCCAAAATTAAACATGATATCGTTTTGTCTCATTATTAAATTTGTCTGTACGGAAACAGAATAGTAAAATAAAATGTTATTAAAAAGTTACGAGCTACCAAAGATTCGTTTTTATTGCCAATTTTAACACAACTTTGGGCGTAAATTAGTAATAAAAGAAGTGTAAAATTTCCAAAACAAAGTCGGTACCGACACAGGTAAATTATCGAAGAACTCAATAAATTTTATTTGTAATTGATTAATGCAGTGGTTTTTTCATAAAACCCCTTCTTCTAAAGGCCTTTTCGTATTTTTTTACGCGCGCATGTTACTATGAATTATCGTGCATCTCACTGAATAATGTCTCCCCCGGTGCGGTGCGGGAGGACGATGCTTACACACACATGCACAGGCGGTGACGCGCGCTTATAAGTATTCGAGTTTTATTCGAAACGAAAAGTTTTGCTATTTTGTAATTTGGACGCCAAAGACAAAAGACGGCATGGAAATTGATATAATTGAAAGAGATGATGCGTTTTGGACGACAGACAATATTTTAAAATTTTCGTCTGTAATATAATATAATTATAAAAGTAAAAAAAGTAAAGTCTATATTCGATTACTATATAAAATTGCAACAATTTCATTGGTGCCGACGGGGATCGAACCCGGGTTGCTCGCGTAATGTGATACTTACAGCGAGCGCTAACCATCTGAGCTACCACGGCTCTCAATGCAAGTGTTATAAATAAATAAAGAATTACAAAACAGTTTAATTATTTATTAGACGACTTTTGCGGCGGATAAACAAAGTATATTATGTGGGATTTTCATAGGTACCTACCTACTGTTATTACCTAGATACCTACAATCAACAATACAACAAAATGTCACAAAACCTCGCCGCGTCGTGGCCACAAAATTGTAAACTTTAGGTAGGTACGTCGGTACTAAGAAAACAACCTTGATGGGTCACTTGTCTTGATAAAAACCTGTGTTTACGTTTAGTGATATTGAGTATATATAAAAAAATAAGAAGCCAGGTAAGTAAGTATTTTTGAAAACAATTTATAGGTAGGCAGACCAATTACGATTATTATCTAAATATTATAAATGCGAAAGTTTGGATATTTGGATGGACGGATGAATGGATGTATGTTACTCAATCACGAACGGCTGAAGGGATCTGGATGATATTTTGCTCAGAGATAGGCTATAGTCCGGAATTTTTTTTTTTCAAAAAAACGTTACCCCACACTAGGATTTTCTCCTGTATCGTGGAGGCAGTTTACAAACATCCAGACCCGGAACAATTATTTGTAGACCATACAAATACTTGTTCGATTGATTCGAACCCGCGGCTCCCAGTACAACAATTCATTGCTAAGCCACTGCGCCACGGAGCTGCCAAATATCATATATGATACCGTTTATTCAGATATTTCGTTGCCGTGGGATAATTATCGAGTTACACACGTTCGAAGCCGAACTCTTGAGTGATTGCTGCATGACCACTCGGGGAAAACTAAACATAATAAAATAAGCAATCTATATTAGGTATATAGAGCCACAGACGTATACCTAATAATTTCGTGGATTCACCCGCGTCATCACGTGTCCGAGATGCGTGGCATGACATGACACCTAGTTCAAGCATTTTATAATTACAATCAAATATTTTATTTGATTGTAATGTATGGAAAAATTGTCATGATTAATGGAGTACTTTTATTTTATCTGTCGGCATATTATGCGCGGTTTTTTCCAGTTTTAAAGAAAAACGTACACGATTCATGAAAAGTGTGTAGGCAAGAAATGATTCTTGATAAATTTGCTATCAACCTCTTATACTTATTAATTAATTAAATTTAAACTTTCAAAATACCATAGCAACGTGAAATGAAAGAGTTCAGAAATAAAGATGTAACTAATCATTGCTACGCTCACCCGGGAGATAGATAAAAGTACTCAATTAATTTTGAATTTATTTTAGCTACTAGGACTTCGTCCGCGTTTAGTTTAGGGCGTTAATATTGTTGCAAAGACACCTAATAATTTTTCTAAAATTTAAGCAGGCTAAGTTACTTCTTATAACATGAGCTATCTACTAGTGAAAGTCCCGCCCAAGTCGGTCCAGCCGTTTTGGAAATTAACCGCAACAAACAGACTGACAGACATACAAAAATGTTAAAAATTGTGTTAATGTTATAAGTACCGTATACTTACAGTTTCATACGCAATTAGTAAAAAGCTGTTATTTTGACATTACAAACAGACACTTCAATTTTATTTATTTGTGTATATATAGATAACGATTGAACTAACGGCTAACCTAACCTCGCTCATAGAAGCTTTCAATACTGGCTTCTCAGTTCGCACCGGGCTAGGGGTTATGCGTTGTTTGCGCGTCAAGCCAAGTAGGTATTGAATTATTTTAATTTTACATTATCTCTTAAACTATGTACTATATAAACATGGTAAAGTTTATTTTCATAAAATTGTCTTGATAATGAAGTAACGTAAGGTGCCTAATAATTAAATTTTCATTTTTTTTTGTCACAAAATGCCTAATTGTGGCTTATATATAAGAAATAGACATATGGTATCGCGGACTTTTTTTAGACGGAGTAAAGATCTATATTTTTCTAGAACATTGTATTTACGTATCCCAATCCCCTTTTTCTTCTGACTTCCTTAACAAATATAGGCTAGCTGAGATATATAGCCTAATGCTGTATAGCCTATACTATTCAACATGAATCTGGCTATAATATCCAAAAAAAGATTTTTCAAATCGGACTGGTAGTTCCAGAGATTAGCACGTTTAAACAAACAAAAACCCTCTTCTGCTTTATTATATTAGTATAGATGTTGCATCGTGTTCGTGTAACTTCGTTTTTATTCTAACGGTTCGGAACACCGTACGAACAAGACATGCGTGAATACTAGTGTCGATATGCTCATCACTGATACTATCTCTGTCGGGCACGATGCCAGGTGAGACAGCGTGCTTTTTGGCCGCGCCCACCAGCGAGTTCGAGCCCGCGACTTGTGCCACACAAACAAAGAGTTGTGACATATTTTACGGTAGTCGGTTTTTTTCTTTCCTCAACAGCTACAACAGCACCTTGTCTTCGGTATGGTTAGATGGCCAGCTCAGGGATTATGTTTGTAGGTTTGTGAACTAAACATGATTTCAGAGTGTATTTTTTTATTTAGAATTTTGTAAATGACATGTAGTATATTTTTGTAATTGATTTATATTTATCAGTTTTGTTAAATATGAGTCACTCAATAGCATTTTTATTAATTTGTTTTGCGCAACCTGTTTCTGATAACTTTGTTTTTTAGGCGCAGCCTCTCTCAATGAGATATAATAAATGTGGTTTAGTTAGAGAATTAGGTCGAGATCTGCGAGGAAGGCATTATTAAACATTATTTGATGACGATGATGATGACGATGATGATGACGATGATGATGACGTTGATGATGACGATGATGATGACGACGATGATGATGACGATGATGATGACGATGATGATGACGATGATGATGACGATGATGACGAGGATGATGACGAGGATGATGACGAGGATGATGACGAGGATGATGACGAGGATGATGACGAGGATGATGACGAGGATGATGACGAGGATGATGACGATGATGATGACGATGATGATGACGATGATGATGACGATGATGATGACGATGATGATGATGATGATGATTATGGCGATGACGATGATGATGACGATGATGATGACGATGATGATGACGACGATGATGACGACGATGATGACGACGATGATGATGACGATGATGATGACGATGATGATGACGATGATGATGACGATGATGATGACGATGATGATGACGATGATGATGACGATGATGATGACGATGATGATGACGATGATGATGACGATGATGATGACGATGATGATGACGATGATGATGACGATGATGATGACGATGATGATGACGATGATGATGACGATGATGATGACGATGATGATGACAATGATGATGACGATGATGATGACGATGATGATGACGATGATGATGATGACGATGATGATGACGATGGTGATGACGATGGTGATGACGATGATGATGACGATGATGATGACGATGATGTTGACAATGATGATGACGATGATGATGACGATGATGATGACGATGATGATGATGATGACGATGATGATGACGATGGTGATGACTATTACGATGATGACGATGATGATGACGATGATGATGACGATGATGATGACGATGATGATGACAATGATGAT